AGGTGTGGACACACCCCCTCCCAGGCCCAGTGACATCCACTCAGATGGGCCAGTTGTCTTGAGCCTGATTCTAGGTGTGGGCAGAAGACCCAGGTGTGGGCACACCCCCCCCCCACCAGGCCCAGTGACATCCACTCAGATGGGCCAGTTGTCCTGAGGCTGATGCTAGGTGTGGGTAGAAGCCCTGGGCGTGGGCACACCCCCCCAGGCCCAGTGGCATCCACTCTGGCAGATCCTGCTGGGTACTCCTGGCAGCCAGCCTCGGCACATGGCCTGACTTCTGCTGTCTGTGACGTCTCAGGCCCTTGCCTCGTGCCCCGTAGCTTGGAGTCACCATCAGGGAGTCCGCCTTGCTTGTCTTGGAGATCAGCGCTCCTGGGGAGATTGTGTCTTTGCTTATCCTGGAACCAGGCATTTGGAGGCTTCCATTAGCCTCTCAGCTCTGAGGAGGACCAGGCCTGAGCTGGCCGCAGCTTACCTCTAGACACTGTCCCTCCCAGAGTGGCCTGACGTCTTTGGTTGGCGGCTTCAAGCTGCCAGCCGTCAGCCTAGCAGACTGTGCAGGACGCCGAGGACAAACGAACCCACCACGGTGGGATTTCGTAAGTCCTGGCTGGGAGGAAGTGAGGACAGGCAGCTTCCCGGGGCTGGAGGGTGGCAGGGAGTGGGGCCTGGAACTCTCCAGAGAACTTGCCCCGGAGGAGTCTGGGTGCATGGGCACCTGTGAAGCGCTCCTGGGGGCACAGGCCATCTCTTTCACCTTCGTATTCCCAGGCCTGGCACCCATCGGGAATGGACGAGTGGATGGTGAGCCCTGGTGTTTGATGAGATAAAAGTCCCTCACAGGGATTGCAGAAACACTCCTGAATTTCCTGATGGTTCTGAGTTAGGAATGGTGGAGTCTGGGGTGAACAGAGAAGAGATGGGAGATAGAAGAGGCCTTTCTTTGGCAGTAACTGAGTAATGGGCCTCCCATTAGCCAAGCGCGCCGCCGCTAATTTCCCATCTGGAAGCTCTCCAGCGCCTTTACTCCCATCCCAGCCGAAACTGCAGAGTGGACAGGGCCCAGAGTGGGGACGCTGGGGCTGACTCTGTTGCCTTTTGTGGGAGGGTCTTCCTGAGAGGGCTTCCCATCAGAGCCAGCCTTTCACGATTGGATTGTGGATGGGAGTGCTGAGGACAGGATCTTGCAGAAATGGGCGATTACAGGTCTGCGGGGTCCATGCTTGCGCCAGGGGAGGGGACGGTCCTTCCCCGTCTTAGTGTGACCAGCGCTACAGTTAAGCTCCGTGTGCCCCAAGTGACTTCCTTTAGAGGGTGTTTGCTAAACCCTCAGGCACACCCTTGGTGGGCAGGGAACAGGAATGGGGTGCTAGCCCCCAGCACGGGGATGCGTTCCCATTTGTCAAGGCTGGGAAGCCACAGGAAGACCCCCAAGGGTCTGATCTAGAGGGGTTGGGCTGGGAGCCGGTCCAGGCTCCAGTCTTGTCCCTCAGGGGTTTGTGTGCTGGCGGCCATGCAGGCCACTGCAGTGCGACTCTCGCTGTGCCTCAGGAAGACAGTATCACCTGCCAGACTGTCAGACTCCACTGAGTTGAACCAGGAAGACTGAGTGCTGAGCACCCTTCCTGGTACTTGCGAAGCCTCCACATGTAACTAGTGGTCCTTTCTAAAGCTTGGGGTCTGCCCTGCTTTTCTCACGCTGCTGAAACAAATCGCCGCAAACTTAAGGGCTTAAAAAGACACAAATTTATTCTCTTGTAATCCCAGCACTTTGGGAAGCCGAGGTTGGCAGATCACCTGAGGTCAGGAGTTTGAGACCAGCCTGGCCAACGTGGTGAAACCCTGTCTCTACTAAAAATATAAAACTTAGTGGGCACGATGTCACGTGCCTGTAATCCCAGCTATTCAGGAGGCTGAGATGGGAGAATCACTTGAACCTGGGAGGGGGAGGCTGCAGTGAGCCGAGGTCACACCACGGTACTCCAGCCTGGGTGACAGAGCGAAACTCCGTCTCCATCAATCGATCAATCAATCAATCAATCAGTAAAATACAAAGGAATCTCCAGGGCAGCACTGTTTCTGGAAGCTCTCAGGCAAGCTTGTCCAACCTCGTCCCACGGGCCACCTGCTTTGAATGTGGCCCGACACAAATTTGTAAACTCTTTTTTTTTTTTTTTTTTTTGAGTCGGAGTTTCGCTCTTGTTGCCCAGGCTGGAGTGCAATGGCGCGATCTTGGCTCACCGCAACCTCCGCCTCCTGGGCTCAGGCAATTCTCCTGCCTCAGCCTCCTGAGTAGCTGGGATTACAGGCACGCGCCACCATGCCCAGCTAATTTTTTGTAGTTTTAGTAGAGACGGGGTTTCACCATTTTGACCAGGATGGTCTCGACCTCGTGATCCACCCGCCTCGGGCTCCCAAATTGCTGGGATTACAGGCGTGAGCCACCGTGCCCGGCTGTAAACTCTTAAAACATTATATTTTTTTTCTTTGAGCTCATCAGCTGTTGTTAGTGTTAACTGTGTTTTATGTGTGGCCCAAGACAATTCTTCTTCCAGTGTGGCCCCAGGAAGATCGAGCGCCCCTGCTCTAGGGGAGCGGATTCATTTTCCCTGCTGTTTCTAGCTTCCAAAGGCTCCCTGCATTCCTTAGCTCATGGCCCCATCCTCTGTCTTCAAACCTACCACTGTTACGGTATCTTCCAAACAATCCCTCACCACCACCCTTTCTCTCCGGCTGTCTCACTCCCCTTCTGTGGCCTTGATGCCTCGGGGAAAGAGGGAATTTGGGGCAGCAGGTAAGGAAAGAACTGAAGGCCAGAGACCTTTGAAGATGAGGAAACTGGTGCTCCGGCATGCGGAGAAGACCGAGCGATCTCATGGCTGTGGGAAAGACTGGGACAGGCCTGGGCCACTGCAGGTGTTTTATAAAGGACCTGCTGGACCCTGTGTCCCAGTCTAGGGCCGAATCTTTACTTGTTTGTTTTTTAGATGTCTTTCCCACTAGATTCTAAGCCACGTGAGAACAGAGACCCCTGACTGTTTCCCGTTGTATCTACAGAGGCTGGTGGACGTTCAGTAGCTGTTTATTGAATGAATAAATGGACACATAGCCCGATTGAATTCTAAAGGGCTCATATTTTGCAGCACTGATATTTGGTCCTTGGCAAGCATCGGGCAAGGTGGCACTCTTAGAAGGTGAATCCAGCTCCCGTTTGTGGGACAGGCAGGAGGAGAGAGGAAGAGAGGCAGGAAAAGTCTGTTTGGAGAACTCAGTGGACACAGTGGGATGCAGGGGGCCTCAACCACGGTAGAAGGGAGAGGTGGGACAGGAGAACAGGAGGGGAGACGGATGAGCAGGGAAGGGCTTGCGGAGATGAGCAGGGAGGTAGGGAAGGGCTTGGGGGCTCAGTGTGGCGGAGGAAAAGGGGAGAGAAGGAAGACGGGCCAGGATGACTCTTGGGGATCCTGGCCGAGAAGAACAACTTTCCGTGTGTTTTCGCTGAGGAAATGTTGGGGGTACTTTCTCTGAAATGTTGGGGGTACTTTGAAATGTTGGGGTACTTTCTCTGAAATGTTGGGGTACTTTTTCTGAAATGTTGGAGTAATTTCTGAAATGTTGGGGTACTTTCTCTGAAATGTTGGGGTGCTTTCTGAAATGTTGGGAGTAATTTCTGAAATATTGGGGTACTTTGAAATGTTGGGGTACTTTGAAATGTTGGGGTAATTTCTGAAATGTTGGGGGTACTTTCTCTGAAATGTTGGGGATACTTTCTGAGATGTTGGGGGTACTTTCTGAAATGTTGGGGGTAATTTCTGAAATATTGGGGTACTTTCTCTGAAATGTTGGGGTACTTTCTCTGAGCCGGCACTGTGCCTGGTGGTGGACTCCAATTCTGAATAGCGTGTCCTCCTCTCTAAGGAGCAGCAGTTCTGGAGGGAGGAGAAGGCCACTTGGGGCTGTGCCTTGCGCAATGCAGTGGTCAGGAAGTGCTGGGGGCCAGTGTGCCGGGCGGGGATGGGGCTGAGGGGTCCAGGCCGCCTTCCGTTGGGGGACTGAGAGTGTAGCCAAAAGCCTGACGGCTGGGGCCCCTGTGCCTCCATTCCGTTCTCTCCACCCATGCTCTGCTGGCTTCCTCGTCACTTCCTCTGGGGCCCCTCTCTGTCCCCCCAGACTTAGATTCTGGCCCTGCTGTTTCCTCCCTTCTGACCGTGCCCTGCCCCAGTCGGCTCTGATTTCCCTCCTGAACCTTCTTATCCCGGGACAGACTGCCCGGCAGACGTGGGCGGGTCCCGTGTCTGCTCACCTCCGGAAGGCTGGCTTGCTTGGCAGGTGGATGAATCCATGGACAAACATCGATGGGGAAATGTGGGAATCAGTTGAGGGAAGCGAAACCAGGTGTTAGCAGCAGGAGCACGAGGTCTGAAGCTGCTTTTGGAGCTGGAGAGGAAAGGGGGCCTGCCCCCCTCCTGTGGGCCACATCTGCATATTTTATATTTGTTTTATCATAGTATCTGACTTATGTTTTCTGCATGTTTTATATTTTTTTTTTAATCATACTCTCTGACTTTAATCCCCTATAAAAGTGTTACTGAAAGAAGGGGAAAAGGAAAAGTGGGGGCGGGGGGCGGTGCTCACGTCTGTCATCCCAGCACTTTGGGAGGCCAAGGCGGGCAGGTCGCCTGAGGTTGGGAGTTCGAGACCATCCTGACCAACATGGTGAAACCCCGTCTCTACTAAAAATACAAAAATTAGCCAGGTGTGGTGGCAGGTATCTGTAATCCCAGCTACTCGGGAGGCTGAGGCAGGAGAATCACTAGGACCTGGGAGGTGGAGGGAGGTGCAGTGAGCCGAGATTGCGCCACTGCACTCCAGCCTGGGTGACAGAGTGAGACTCTGTCTCAAAAAAAAAAGGGGGAAAGGGCAGGGAAGCAGGCAGTGCGCTGAGGATTTCGGCCTCCTTGCTCATGAGCTGCTGGCTGTGCTTTGCTTTTGCACAGGTGGAAGCAGGGAAGGGCCTGGAGATGAGGAAGCTGGTTCTCTCGGGGTTCCTGGCCAGCGAAGAGATCTACATTAACCAGCTGGAAGCCCTGTTGCTGGTGAGTACAGTGTGTGCTCTGGGGCCCCGGGTCCCCGCGCCGGGCAACCTCATGCTCTGAAGCTGCTTTTGGAGCTGGAGAGGAAAGGGGGCCTGTCCCCGACCTCCAGTGGACAGAGTCTGCAGCTGCTCTGCTCCCAGCTGGGCGTCAGGGAGCCCAGTCGCTGCCAGAAAGGGCCTGTGCCTCTGTGCTCCATCTCTCCATTACCCAGCTCTTTCGAGGCAGGAAAAGCAGCACAGCCAGGTTAGGGCTGGAAACACGCCTGTCACCCACGGCCGTGGCAAAGGGCCTACATAACCCGTCACGGGGCTCTGTCCTGGCTGGGGCCGAGCACCCCCTCCACACCGTGCCCTGAGCAGTCACTGCCAATCAGTCTAGCTAAGAACTCCCTGTTATCTTTGCTCCAAGTCCGTCTGCCTCCCTGGGTGAGTGAACGGTGAGCAGCATCCAAGGCGCATGTCAGGAAATAGGAGGTGGGAGGCTGTGTTCTTTTTTTTTTTTGTTTTTGTTTTTGTTTTGAGACAGAGTCTTGCTCTGTTCCTAGGCTTCAGGCTGGAGCACAGTGCCACAATCTTGGCTCACTGCAATCTCTGCCTCCTGGGTTCAAGCAATTCTCCTGCCTCAGCCTCCCTAGTAGCTGCGACCACAGGTGCACGTTACCACGCTCAGCTAATTTTTGTATTTTTTAGTAGGGACATTGTTTCTCCATGTTGGCCAGGTTGGTCTCTATCTCTTGACCTCGTGATCCACCTGCCTCAGCCTCCCAAAGTGCTGGGATTACAGGCGTGAGCCACCGCGCCCGGCCGTTCTTGTTTTTTTGAAATGAAGTTTTGCTCTTGTCTCCCAGGCTGGAGGGCAGTGGCATGATCTTGGCTCACTGCAACCTCTGCCTCCTGGGTTCAGGTGATTCTCCTGCCTCAGCCTCCCAAGTAGCTGGAATTGCAGGTACATGCCACCAAGCCCAGCTAATTTTTAGTAGAGACGAGATTTCACCATGTTGGCCAGGCTACTCTTGAACTCCTGACCTCAGGTGATCCACCCACCTTGGCCTCACAAAGTGCAGGGATGACAGGCTTGAGCCACCGCACCTGGCCTGTCTGTGTCTTTTGAGAGGCATCACAGCTCTGAGGCATTAGGCCAACCTCTGCCCTCAGTAAGCATGCCTCAGTTTCCTCTCCCAGATGGAGGCATCATGGTGAGAGTCTGATTGGAGGGGAATATGAAAATGTTTTCAGAAAATAAATAAAAGTACGACACAGCTGTGAGGTGGTTTTGCCTTTGGAGAAAGTGCTCGTTAGATGCGCCTGGATGCTATGCAGAGTCAGTGTGGATGGCCGGTTCTTGCCTCTGGCTGTTTTGTCGCCTGAGACATAAGGTCATTATCAGAAAAGGGAGAATAGGAAGTGTGGATCCGTGGAAGCTCATTCTTACAGGAATGATAAGATACACATTGAAGTACTTGCCGTGACGTGAGGTGTCACACGTCAACCCTGAGATGCTGCTGGTGTCACAGAGGACTTGGCGTTTATATTGCCCTGGGAATCATGGTCTAAATGTGCAGGGGCAGGCCGGGCGTGGGGGCTCCCACCTGCCACTTTGGGAGGCTGAGGCAGGCAGATCACTTGAGGTCAGGAGTTCGAGACCAGCCTGGCCAACACAGTGAATCCCCATCTCTACTAAAAGTACAAAAAAAAAACCAGTCAGGCGTGGTGGTGCATACCTGTAATCCCAGATACTCGGGAGGCTGAGGCATGAGAATCGCTTGAACCTGGGGACGGAGGTTGCAGTGAGCTGAGCGCACACCACTGTACTCCAGACTGGGCAATGGGTGAGAAACCCTCTCTCAAAAAAAAAAAAAAGCCGGGCACGGTGGCTCACACCTGTCAGCCCAGCACTTTGGGAGGCCGTGGTGGGTGGATCACCTGAGGTCAGGAGTTTGAGACCAGCTTGGCCAACATGGTGAAACCCTGTCTCTACTAAAAATACAAACAATTAGCCCGCCTTGGTGGCAGGCACCTGTAATTCAAGCTACTCAGGAGGCTGAGGCAGGAGAATCACCTGAACCCGAGGTGGAGGTTGATGTGAGCAGAGATCGCTCCATTGCTCTCCAGCCTGGATGATAAAAGCAAAAACCCCTTCTCAAAAAAAAAAAGCGAATGTGCAGATGCTTTGGCACACGCATGGCTGAGCGTGTTGTCTCTCCAGGATTTTACCTGTATGCTCGGAGAGATTTTCCAAGTGTGGGGCAGTGTGTCAGGTCGCTGAGGGCTCTGGTCTGGGGCCAGAGGTGCAGTCAGACCCGCCCCCGCCGTGCACACAGGCGTGCTGCCCTGTCTCCCAAACCGTGCTCAGCCCCTCAGAGCATCGCAGAAGCATGGAGCGGGTTGAACCAGCATTTTTAAACCAAGGAAAGGAAACAGCCACACGCATCATCCACAGTAGGATAAGTGCTGGTTCAGGAAACTTCGGGTTCGCTGTGTGTGCGTGTGCGTGTGCGTGTGTATGCATTAACTGCCCACGGTTTCCTATGCCTGTTGTGAGTGTGGAAACCACTGGCTTTGGGCGAGCACTGCGTGAATTCCGTGAGCCTCCGTTTCTGGATCTGAAGATGAGCGTCCGGCCTTGTCTGTCTTTCCGTGGGGCTGAGAAGGTCAGGTGGCCCTTTCGGAACCTCCTATAGTGTTGAGTGCTTACGACACGCAGATATTAGCGGGAGAAAGGAAGACGGGCAGAGGCAACCGTCAGACAAACGTGAAACACGCCTCACAAACTGTGAATTGCGGCATCAAGAAAGCACGGAGCCGTCATTGCCAACAGGATGTGTGTCTGAAAGGAGCTCAGACAAAGGAACAGGCTGCCTGGCTGTGCTGGCCCCCGGCTTTCAGCAAGTGAATGAGCCTTTGTGCCTCAGCTTTTCCATCTGCAAACTGGGTGTACCGATAGTGTGCTTTTGGTGGGTTGTTGTGAGGATTGAAGGAATTTGTACACAGAGCTCTCTTTTTTCCTTTCTTTTTATCTTTTTTCTGAGATGGAGTCTTACTCTTGTTGCCCAGGCTAGAGTGCGGTGGCTCAATCTCAGTTCACTGCAACCTCCACCTCCCGGGTTCAAGCCATTCTCCTGCCTCAGCCTCCCAAGTAGCTGGGATTACAGGCACCCACCACCATGCCTGGCTAATTTTTGTAGTTGTTAGTAGAGACGGGCTTTCACCATGTTGGCCAGGCTGGTCTCGAACTCCTGACCTCAAGTAATCCGCCTGCCTCAGCTTCCCAAAGTGCTGGGGTTACAGGCGAGAGCCACCTTGCCCGGCACATAAAGCTCTTTCTTGGAGCAGAGCCTGAGTGTTCACTGGCACTGTTAATTTCTCAGGGCTGGAGAGAAGACAGGTCAGGGCTTGCTGGTTTCTGTCACAGCACACCCTTTCCCTGAAGGAGGGAGTGGGGGCTGTCCCTTCAGACATGAAGCCCTTGGATCCCCCTGCCCTCCGGGAGCCTCTTCCTCTGGGCCAAGACGGGGAGCCCCTGCCTGCCCTGCCTTTCCAACAGCCGGTGCCCCACAGGCAGAATCTGTGGGGCAGGCCCCCCTCGCCTCCTGATGCGCCCGGGGCAGTCCGTCCCTTCCCCCAGCTCTCTCCTCCTGGGCCCCTGCTTGGCTCTTTCTTGAGCAGAGGCCAGAGGGAGAGAGGGAGGGACTCACTGGGAGGCCAGGTCTGTGGCTGGAGCTCTTGGGAAGAGGGCTGGACCCTCCACAGCCACAGCCTCAGTCAAGCTCTCCCTCCTCTCCTCCCTGAGCTGGGAGCCGCACCGTCCCCGGCTCAGCTAGCGGGGAGCTGAACCTTCCGCTCCTCAGGTGGCCTCACAGAGGGGCCAGCTGGCTCCCACCCCTCACCCCATTTCCACAGCTCTGCCCCGGCCGGCCGTCTGCGTTCAGCTGAACCCTTCCTGATAGCAAAGGGCTGGGTGTGTAGACCCAAAGCCATGCGCACGCACAGGGCAGGTGGGCCTCCGTCCTGGCCTCTGGGTTGCTGGGGGGGTCACTCTGGGCCCGCGCTGCTTCCTGGTGGACTCTGATGACAGGGAAAGCCTGGGGCCTGGGCCGAGGCAGGGGGTGAAGGAAAAAAGACGAAACCAAGCATTGTAATTCTGCATCCTGGAGGCTGGAGAGGAGCTTGGGAGCTGTGTCTGGCCTGTGCTGGGGCCACAGGGTGTGAGGCCACTGCCCACAGGCCCACCGCCGCTGGCCACGGCCGGTCCTCCTGGGGCGGACTCTCTTCTGGCCTCGCGTTGGGGTTCGCAGCCACGCTGCGCCCCAAGCTCTCCATCTGTAAATCAGGTGCATGATGCCTGCCTCCCAGGGCCCCAGTCCGCGGTGACTGAGGTGATGTGGCCAGGCCTTCCGGGCAGGAGGTAGAGGAAGTGGGCAGATCTCGTTCCTCTGTTTCGAAAGGCCATTTGCTGGGGGATGGAGCGGACCAATGGCTGTGTGAAGTCCCCAGGGAGACCAGGGCAAGGGAGAAGTGGCCCAGGCCCCTCTTCCCGAGATGCGCTTGGGCTGGGACCAGGGTGGAGGTCACTCAGGGACCTCGCTGAGAACGCTCCATGGTGAACTGGAGAGCCAGGGCCCATCCCCACCCCAGCGATGGACGGGCGCTAGCACCAAGGCAGGATCGCTGTGCCTCGCCAGAGCTCTGCGTGGGTCACCCTGTCCCCAGCCCACCCTGCGTGGGTCACCCTGTCCCCAGCCCACCCTGCGTGGGTCACCCTGTCCCCAGTCCACCCTGCGTGGGTCACCCTGCCCTCAGCCCACCCTGCGTGGGTCACCCTGCCCCCAGCCCACTCTGCTGCCCTCCCCGTGGGTCACCCTGCTCTCAGCCTACCCTGAATGGGTCACCCTGCCCCCAGCCCACCCTGCATGGGTCACCCTGCCCTCAGCCCACCCTGCTGCCCTCCCCGTGGGTCACCCTGCCCTCAGCCTGCCCCCAGCCCACCCTGCGTGGGTCACCCTGCCCTCAGCCCACCCTGCTGCCCTCCCCGTGGGTCACCCTGCCCTCAGCCCACCCTGTTGCCCTCAGGCCTATGTGTGGGACTTCACCAGAGAAAAACACCTGCCATAAGGGTCCTGGCCACACGCCCAGCCCCGTCCCCTCCCACCAGGGGAAATCAGCAGTGAGAGTCAAGGCCCCCGTCGTGTCATGGGAGCCGTCTGATGCCCCACGCGGGGGCCTGTCCTGTGACTGGCGTGGTGAGCATCCGTTTCTCCTTTCACAGAGAGGGTAGGGGACGCTGAGCAGGAAGCAGAACCATGCATCTTGTCCCTGCGTGGGCGGCAGACGGGTGCTTCCTCAGCAGCTTCTGAGAAGTCCTGGCCATGGCCTTCCCGGGACGGATCCTGCCCCCCTGATTCCTTCCTCAGTGGGGACTGCGCCAAGGCAGGGACCAGAATTTGGGGACTCAGTGGCGACGCAGGCTCCTCCATGGGGTCCTGCCTCGCACTGGAAAGGATAAACTCTTATGCCAATGTCAATCCTGAAGCTGGTTCCGTGTCCTTTGTGGAGGGTGGGGGGTCCCCAACGCTTTCAGCCCAGCCACCTGTGCTTGGGAGGACACTCTTTCCTTACTCCTGCTGCGGTTCCTTCTGCCTCCCTGCCCTTCTGTCTGCACACTTCACTGCCCCCCACTCCTCCAACCTACCCAGCTCTTCAAGGCCCTGGTATATCCGCCTCCTCCATGCAGCCCTCCAGGCTGTTCCAGCACAACCTTGGAACCACAGGGTGGGTGCTTATGGTCTGGCACTGCCATCTCTCACATCGCCCATGAGAACCACGGGCAAGGTGGGATGGCAGCAAATAAACAAACAAAATAGAATAAAATGTGGGGAAGCATACTGAAGACGATGCCTGCCAGGTCCCAGCACCCCCAGTCCTGCTGCTGGGCTTGGAGGCAATGTCGTCAGTGGCAGCCAGTGCTGGGGGTTGGTCCCTGTGTCTGCCACCTCACCGTCTACACTGCAGGCTCTGGAACATCTTGGTATAGACAGGCAGGCGTTGGGAACACGTCTGAGACTGGAGGCCACACCATGTGCTATGGGAGGGGCCATCGTGGTCTCTCAGCAATGTCTGCCACGGGGTGGGAGGTGGTGGGGGACCCGTGAACCCCCGTCCGTCTCCGTGTACCAAGTGGCGGGAACTCGGAATATCAGTGAGGCCAGGCTGGTCTGGAGTACCTTCCGGTCCTGCCCCTCTGAGTCCTGGAAACACGTTGTTTCTTGTAAGGAAACAGCGGAAGGCCTGAGTCCCAGTCAACCCTCCTTTCCCCTGACGTGGGGCAGGAGGTCCTGTTACAGCAGCACAGGCTGCGGCTAAGCTCGGGCACGTGGCCGGGGAGTGGACCGTGGCACCGCCCCTCGGGCCTGGCAGGACAGCTGGGACAGGTGCCTGCGCCGAGCGTGTGGCCTGCTGGGGCCTGTGGCAGCGGCTCCTGGATACAAAGCGCGCTTCAGGGCTCTGCCTTTGCGCCTTTGTCCAGGCAGGACTGGGCAGCGGGAAGGGCCAACGGTCACCTCCGGGCCTGTCGGCACGCTGGTGTGCTCACCCCCCACCTCTGCTCTCTCCTCCTCACGTCCTCCCAGCCCATGAAACCCCTGAAGGCCACGGCCACCACCTCCCAGCCCGTGCTCACCATCCAGCAGATCGAGACCATCTTCTACAAGATCCAGGACATCTACGAGATCCACAAGGAGTTCTACGACAGCCTGTGCCCCAAGGTGCAGCAGTGGGACAGCCAGGTCACCATGGGCCACCTCTTCCAGAAGCTGGTGAGTCCCAGGACAGGGGGAGAGCGGAGCCCACGGTGTTGCAAAGAGCTTCCAGAGAGAACCGGGCAACCCTCTCGACCTCCTTGCAGGCCTGGGTCTGCTCTGAGTCCTGGAGGCAAGCTGGGGCCTGTGCATTATGGGGCACCTGGGCCAGGGCCTGACTCCAGGCCTCCCGTGGTGCATCTCTGGGAGTGCTTCTAGGGGTGCTGGAGACGGGCCAGGGGGATGGAGACTCTAGGGGTGGTGGAAACGGGCTGGGTGGGTGGAGATTCTAGGGGTGGTGGAGATGGGCTGGGGTGTTGATTCTAGGGGTGCTGGAGACAGGCTGGGAGGGTGGAGATTCTAGGGGTGGTAGAGATGGGCTGGGAGGGTGGAGATTCTAGGGGTAGTGGATACGGGCCAGGGGGATGGAGATTCTAGGGGTGGTGGAGACGGGCCGGGGGGATGGAGATTCTAGGGGTGGTGGAGACAGGCTGGGGTATTGATTCTAGGGGTGCTGGAGATGGGCTGGGAGGGTGGAGATTCTACGGGTGGTGGAGACAGGCTGGGAGGGTGGAGATTCTAGGGGTGGTGGAGACGGGCTGGAAGGGTGGAGATTCTAGGGGTGGTGGAGACGGGCTCGGGTGTTGATTCTAGGGGTGCTGGAGACGGGCTGGAAGGGTGGAGATTCTAGGGGTGGTGGAGACGGGCTGGGGGTGGGGGCCCAAGGCCTGCTCCTCTGAGACCTCGGAGATTCACTGCGTCTCAGGCTGCCTCTGTAAAAGGAAGCAGTTGGATGCATCAGCCAGTGATCCTCTCCTGAGGTCCCAAGAGCAAGAGGCACTAAAAGCCCAGCCCTGCCCCCTATTTCGGGACGGGGAGTGTGGCCGGCGGGGTGGTTAACATGCAGCCTTAGTGCTGGGAAAGGCCCACAGACATCTTCTGCTCCCTGGGGCCTCTGTGACACCCTTTCCCCCAGCTCTGCCCCATGTCTGGCTGTGTCCCCTGGGGAGCCCAGGTCAGATCCGTGGAGTCCCCTATATAACGTCTGACAGCCTGCAGGCAAGAAGGAGACTGGGAGTCCAGGTTGTGGTTCTTCTCCGGGTGTGAGTGGCCGCCGGGGCCTCCTCCTCCTCCCTGCCTGAGGCTGGCTGAATGAACAGGGCTCTGCCTTTTTCTCACACTGGGGAAAACTCCTACCTGGACACTCACAGGGTGTCTAGCTGAGCGTGTTCAAAGCTGAGCGTGTTCAAAGCTGAGCTGCTCGTCCGTGGCGTGATCTGCCCCGCTTCCCGTCTTCATCTCAGTGAGCGCGTTAGACCCGCTCTTGGCACACCCCCCAGCCCCCCGTCCCGTGGAGTCCTCTTTTTGGCCGTTGCTCACAGCCTCCGTGTCCTCCTGCCCCCCACCCCCGGCTCCCCATGGCCCTCACCTGGGCAGCTTCCGACCCTCCTGTGTGGCTGCTGCCTCCAGGCCCACTCCTCTCCCAGCCCACCTCTCCTTGCGGGGGAGAGAGCCGCCGAACCCCAACTGCCCTCGGATGAGACCAGGCTTCAAGGAACGGACCCTTGGCACGCTGAGCTGAGCTGTGCCCGGGCCTGGCGTGGCTGCCTCCTCCCCGAACTCCTGCTCCTGACACCAGACCTTCTGTTCTCAGTTCCCGGGGCAGGCACTTCCTGACCTCCTCCTGCTGGAGGCCCTGTCTGCCTGAAGTGTCCTTC